GCATTCCCATGGGAGCTCTGGGGTGGTCAGGGCTCTGAATGACCCGGGTGGGCCTAACCCTCCTTCGGCTCGGCAGGCTGGCTCCCTGCTGCAGGCCACCTCTGGGAGCTGGGCCCACAGCATCCAGCCCACGCTGACTGAGGAGCGTCCACCCTTGCTGATGGCCCCTTTGGCTTGCAGGCTACCAGCTCTCCTGGGAGGTGTATGGGAGCAACCAGTCCCGACTGACGCAGGCCCTCAACAGCTCCACCCACGAGTACAAGATCACCGGGCTGTCCTCCCTCACCACCTACACCATCGAGGTGGCTGCCGTCACCGCTGTGGGCACTGGACTGGCCACCTCGTCCACCATCTCCTCGGGCGTCCCCCCAGGTCAGTGCCACCATCGATTCTCAGGGTGAAATGATTCCTGGCCGCTGAGGCTCCCGGGCACCTGAAAAGAAGGCATTAGCTTACTGCCAAGCACCTGACTCTTAAGTGTTCCACTGCAAATGGGCAGGGGGCCGTTTGGCCCTGCCTCCCGGGGTGCAGTGGGGAAAAGTCCTGGCCATCCACTCCTGTAAGGCTGGCAGCCTAGAAAACCCAGGCCCCAACATGAGTCGGAATGGACTCACAGGCAGAAGGTTCCGGATTTGGCTTCATGCTCTTCCCACCAGCGAGTAGACTGGGGAGGAGTGGGGGTGGGTTGGAGGACAGGAGGGGAGCCAAGGCCTCAAAGTGCTGACACACCAAATGTGTCCGGCATTTCCCACCCTTGCTGTTACCCATTGGCGTCCAGTCGATGCTGACTCACCGCGACCCTGTTGGACAGAGTGAAGCTGCCCCTGTGGGTTTCTGAGGCAGACAGCCTCCGCTTTCTCCCGAGGAGCGGCTGCTGGTTTCAAACCACCCATCTTTGCGTTAGCAGCCATGTTCTGAGCAGGTGTGGGCCTCCAGGACGCCTCCCTGCCTTTCTAGCAAAGCACAGATTGGGGGCTTCCCAGGAGTCATGGCCGCCCTTCTTCTTGTCTTCTCTCTGGGGAGAGTGAGCTGGAGAAGGTTTGTATCCCGACGAGGAGTAGAGACTGGGAAAGCCCAGCGTCGTGCGGCCAAGCCACAAAGACCGGGTCAGCGAGACAGCGCCAGGCAAAGTGGGGCGGGGGTGGAGGCCAGGGGAGAAGCGGAAGAGAGAACGAACGCTGGGGGTCGCAGGAGGGCAGGGAGGAGCCCGAGGGGGCACAGCAGGCTGGGGGTTGGGCTGCCTGTGCTTCAGACCCACTAGCTACCCATCCTGGTGAGCTGGCCAGCCAGCAGGTCCGGCTCCAGGCTTGGGGCGAGAAGGAGCTGCTGCCGCTGCAGTGAGTGTCCTGCGGGGCCCCTTCCCCCTGATTGTAGAGCTGGCATTGAAAGTACACCTGTTATTCTAAGTCACGCATAGATGCCCAAGAGCACCCCGAGATGCTGTGGGGGCCACCGGCTCAGCACCCACCTCCATGGAAGCTGCCCGTCTCGTTGGCACCTAGGACCCCTCTATTCGCCTGGTTGGGTCTTTGAGAAAGGAGGTGGTTGCAGCTGTAGAGTCTGTGAGAGGAGCCCGGGTGGCACCGTGGGTTATGTGTCTGGGCTGCTCACCACAAGGTCAGAAGTTTGAACTCACCCACTGCTCCTCGGGAGAAAGACGAGGCTGTCTGCTCCTGTAACATCTCCAGGCTGAGCACCCCGCCAGGGCAGTTCTACCCTGTCCTGATGGCAGGGAGTTTGTTTCTTGTTAGCATCACGCACGGCTACCCTGAATGAGTAGAGCCCACCCCCCACGGGCTCCCAGGCTGACATCTTTCAGGAGCAAAGTGCCAGGCCTCTCTCCCGTGGTGCAGCTGGTGGGGGTTCAGACCACCCACCTTTCAGCCAGCAGCCAAGCACTTAACCACTGTGGCCCAACCGTGGACGCCAACCCAGCAGCCCTTGTGAGGATGGTGTGGACCTAGTGGCGTTTTGTTCGGTTGCACACGGGCCACTATGAGTCAGAACTGAACAGCAGTCACCGGACTGCCCCTGTCCACTTCGGTCTCCACCCACCCCACTCCCCATGCCCCCGAGAACGGGGGGCAGAAGCGGAAGCCCGACAAGGCAGACGCAGCATAGAGTCCGAACATTAGAAGCCCCCAAAGGTGCGGGGTGCCCACCACTAGTGCCTTCGTCCTGCAGGTCTGAGCTTTGGTGAGCTGAGGCTTGGTGGTCCTTACGGTGGAGTGTGGAACAGGAGAAGTAGGGATCAGGGGAGGAGGACTCACTTGCTAAACAACAGGTAGAGGAGGTGACTCCTACCCAAGGTGACACCCACGTACGTGCCTCACATTAAAACGGCGCTCCATCAGCGGCTGGCTTTTTTTTCCGTACATCAACCACCAGGCTTATCTTCCGAGGCACCCCCAGTGTGGACCCTAACCTCCAATGCCCGTCAGATTTACAGTCCAGCTCCTTTACCACCATGTAAGTCCTCCCGGGGTGTAAATCATCCACTAGCCAGCCACGGGCCAGCAGGAGGGCCCTGGCCTCACGCGGTCCCATGAACAAGTCTCTCCAGGTGACCCCCACACAGCTGCCCCCTCTTCCCTCCAGGGCCCTGGTCCCTGCACAGGGGCAGGTGGAGAGCCAGCTGTGGGCCCGCCCCCGCAGCTAACTCAGCGGGTGTGTTATCTGCACATGGAAGGACTTCGAGCAGGCTGGACGCCTGTGCTGCGGAACCGGTGCCTGAAGGCAATCCATCATTATCGTCTTTAATGCCTTTGAGAAATAAGTGTTCCCTGCTTTTTTTTAAGGAAGAGAGTGCTTTGACTGAACGCTTCATCTCAGGATGGCGCAGGACCCTGCAGGGTTGGGGCAGCCCCTGTGAGCAGCTCAGAGCTGATTCCACAGCACCTAGCCAGGACCCCGAAGCCAGACTCACTGCCCAGGACTCAAATCTGCCCCACAGCGACCCCGTAGGGCAGGGTGGGACTGCCCCTGGGGGTTTCCTGGAGGAATGTGATTCACTTGAATCTTTGAGCTGATAGACAAGGAGCCCTGGTGGGACGGCAGTTAAGCGCTCGGCAGAGGCCCAAATGGTCGGTGGTTCGAACCCACCAGCCCCTCTTAGGCCGGAGACAGCTGGCTTCCTTCCAGACTGTGGCTGTGGTTCCCTGGGGCCAGCTCATGGGGACCACGCGGACAGTCCACACAGCGTGGCCAGTCCTGCGCCATCCTCATGCACGCCAGGCTTAGCCCCCGGCTGCAGCCTCAGGGTCAGTTCGTCTCCCTGAGGACCTTCCTCTGTTCTGCTGGCCCTGTCCTTTAACCAGGTCCTGCTCCAGGGACGGTCCCTCCTGGTGACCTGTCCGAAGGTCAAGTCTTGGTTTCTCAAGAGTATCTCGGCTATACTTTCTCCAAGGCAGATTCCCCGGCCTTTCTGGCTGCCCACAGTCCAGTCCAGAGGCTTCCCCGCACCGGCATTCAGAGTTGGCCGAGCTTATTCAATGTCCGGCCCTGCAGAGCTCGCAGCCCCCGGGACAGGCCGCCTCTTGCCCACAGGGTGGCTGTGAATCAGAATCAAGTTGGCCACAGCGGGGTTTCATTTGGACAGAGATAGGAGGGGTCTTGGTAGCCTAACACTTTAGCACTTGGCTGCGGACTTAAGGTAGTAGGTTTGACACCCCTGACCCCGGAGCCGCTCAGTTAAAGAAGAGAACTCCTGTCGATCTGCCCCCACTCCCACCCCCCTGAAGCTGTCAGCCTGGGAACACTGTGGGCGCTTCATGTCTGTCTCACGGGTCTCTGGGAGGTCCCATTGGCTCAGTGACCCCCGGCAGCACCAACGTGTTCAGAGATGAATGAGACAGGACAAGGCGGGGTGGGGGTGGGGTGCCACAGGAATAATCCCACCCCCCACATCCCCCTTCCAGGAACCCTGGTAGCACAGTGGTTTTGCATTGCGCTGTGATCCCCGAGGTCAGCAATTCAAAACCACCATCACGACTCAGAAGAAAGACAGGCCCTCCTACTCCCGTCCCCAGTCGCAGCCCCAGTTCTGCCCTGTCTTGCAGGGTGGCTGAGAGTCAGCACCTGCTCTGTAGCAGTGGCTCGGGTTTGGCTTGGCCCCACCTCTTCAGAGCCATGACAGCTCAGCGGGGCAGACCCTGCCCCAGAGAGGTTCCCCCGTGGGTGCCCGTTGTTTGGTTTGATAGACCAGCCTGATGTGGAGTTAATTCCGACTCGGCTGACCGCCTGGGACGAAGCAGAACCGCCCCCTGTGGGCCTGTGAGGTGTAAGCCTTTATGGGAGCAGACAGCCTGGTCTTTCTCCCTCAGGATGGCTGAGCCGCAACCCGACACTTAACCCGCTGCACCCCCAGGGGCTCCCTTCCTTCCTCCACCCCCCACCCCACTTCAACAGGCAAGTTCAGGCACCTCCGGAGTAGCGGCTGAGTGTCAGCCTCTGCCCCCTACCCCATGCCCCCATCTCTCTCCAGAGCTTCCCGGCGCCCCCTCCAACCTGGTCATCTCCAACATCAGCCCACGCTCGGCCACCCTCCAGTTCCGGCCCGGCTATGACGGGAAGACGGCCATCTCCAGGTGGATCGTAGAGGGACAGGTGCGTGTCCTTCTGGGTTGGGGATGTGGGGTGCCCGGAAAGCTCTGCCTGGGCCAGGGCTGGGCCACCTGAGAAGGGTCTGGGCAGGCTGATTGATCAACAGGTGAGGCCAACCTAGGGGGGCAGGCCCCCATGTGGTGCACAGGGTTGATTGCTCCAGGGGCCACCGAGAAGGTTGGTGGTGGGGACAGCCACCCCCAGGAAGAAAGGCCTGGGGACTGACTTCTATTGAGCGCCTGCTGCTCGGCCTCGCTTTGCAGAGGAGGCAACGAGACTGTGGAGCCATTGTCTTCTCCCAGGGCCCCGGCCCCAGGGGTCTCGTGTGTACCCAGGGCCCCGCAGCGCCCAGCCATGTTGAGCTCACACTTCTCTCGTCGGTTCTGCGACGGTTTTCTGTGGGGAAAAAATCCAAGTCGTCTGTTTGCAGGGACTGTTTGGTTTCCCCCTTTGAAGTCTTTATCCGTGGCCTCCACGCCGTTGCCCTTCCGGTGGTTTATTTTATCGCTTTATTGGGAGGGACCCTCTTGGATCATATTGACTGGAGCCGGGAGAGATGACAATCTTTGTTTTTTATTACGAGCTTTAAAGAAATCCTTTCAAGGTCTTATCTTCAAGTATGGCATTTGCTACATGCGCAGTAGACTCTGTCCTTCTTCACCCCACTCCCCCAGCAGCCAGCACATACAGCCTGTAGGGGGTTAAGGCAATTTCTTTCTGATCCTGCTTTTGATGGGAGCTTTTTTAAAAATCATAAATAAGTTTAAGTTTATCCGATCTTTTTTATTTTGCACTGTGTCTGTTATTGTTTGCATCTATTGAGTTTGAAAAATAATTTGATGTAATTCAATGTAAGATTTTAAATATTTTCTTTCGTTCAAAAAATAATGTGATGTCGTTAGACTCATCAATGATTTTAATGATTTCTTGCTGTTACTGCAGCTGTTGAACAATAGGTTCAGCATTGGACTGCCAACCACGAGGTGGGGAGTTCAAATCCACCAGAGGAGGCTGTCTGTTTCAGTACTAAGCATGGGCTTGGAAACCCTGTGGGCAGTCCTGCTCAGTCCTGCAAGGTGACCGTGGGGAGGAGTGAACCTGATAGCAGGGGATCTGGTTTGTTTGGGTACTGAGTCCTCCCAATGGTTTTGTTCTCCCTCCGCCTGTCCATGAGAAGGCTCCTGCTCTCCGATGCTCCCCCATTCAGGGTCCTGAGTTGAGCACTCTGGTCACAACATGGCAATGGGTTCTTGAATCCATCTTTGTGGGTGAACCCAGTCCTGTGTGCGTGTGGGTTTGGCGTGGTGGCTTAATCCCAGTGGTGCTCTGACCTCACCGATCGTCATGAACAAAGGCTCAATGGAACCTGTGACTCTCGCCCCTATGCAGCACCTGTCTCTGTGGCCGAGAGTGGGACCATCTGAGCACCCGCAGAGAGGGAGCTGACTTCAGCACCACTTCCGGTCCACTAAACCAGAGTGTCTGGGGTCTGCTACGATTGTGGCTCCTGCCGTGCAGTGGTTACACCTTGGGCTGTGATCCGCATGGGCAGCAGCTCAAAAACACCAGCAGGTTCCACAAGAGCAAGACTGGGCTTTCTACTCCTGTGAACAGTTAGTCTCGGAAACCCACAAGAGTCAGCGTGGACTCCGTGGCAGGGAGTTCGGTTTGGGTTTTCCTGTCCCTGAAGGGATCGGCTCAAGATGCAGCCTCGCCCCTCAGAGTGCCTCCCGCCTCGCTCGCGGCTCTCTGTTGTTGCTAGGTGCTGTCCTGTCCGTTGCAACCAGTCCTGGCCTCACAGTGGTTGCTGCGTTTGAGCCCATCCTTGCAGCCACCGTGTCAGCCCATCGCATGGAGGGCCTTCCCCTTTCAGTCCCGATCCTTCCACTTTCCCAAGCACGGAGCCCCTCTCCCGGAACGGTCCCTCCTGGCAACACGTCCAGAGTACATGAGGCGAAGTCTTCCTGGGGCTGAGGAGTCACAACACGTAGGATGATTACCTCATAGCACACAAAATGGACCACAGCTCTGCGTTGGTCCACACCTAGTCTGAGGGGTGCACAGCTCCATCTAGGCGTCTTGGTTATCATTTCTTCCTCCCAAGAAACCCAGTTAGAGCTGAGGTTTCTCTGCCCTGTTCCTGGCTCCATCTGGCCCTAGAGTGTGCCCGGCAGGTAGAAAGTAGGATAGCAGAGTCAGTAGTTACATAGGTGGGGGCAGAAATGCCTTCACCTGTGGGTTACGGGCTGGGACTGTGAATCCTGTGTCCCTGCAGGTGAGAACGGGGTTTTCCGTCTCGTGCTCTGCAGACTCCAGCACTGTGGGGGTGGTCTTTGGCCTCTGAGAGGTGCCGAGAACAGACGAGGCAGGGAGAGACACACCAAGCTCACTGCCATCTAGTCGGTTCCGGCTCAGCGACCCTGTAAGACAGAGCAGAACTGACTCTGTGTTTCCAAGGCTCCAACAGCCTCATCTTCCTCCCATGGAGCAGCGAGTGAATTTGAACCACCCACCACAGAGTTAGCAACTGGATGCTTATCACACTGCACCCCTGGAACAAACTTGACTGCCATGGACTGAGTCGGATTTGACCCACAGGGACCCTCAAGGACAGGGTGGAACAGCCCCCCGTGGGTTTCTGAGGCTGCAACTCTTTGCGGGAGGGGGCAGCCTCACTGTATCTCCTGGGAACTCCTTCGGAAAGATCGCTTTTTCCTAAAGGCTCCCTGTTACCTCTACCGGTGGAGAGAAATCCTAGCACGATCCTGCCTCTCGCTGGCCGAGGTCACGGGCCAAACATGTTTTTTTATTATTTTTTTAATCCATGTCATCACTTCAGACTCTGAGGCTGGGAATGTCTGCTGCTAATTACATGCCCTCGGCTCTCATTAAGCATGCAGGTGATCATCTTCCTTGTCAGAAGCCCCAGTGTTGGAGTCACCTTTCATTCTCATAATAGGAAGAGAGAGGGGCATGATTTCCGAGTCGCCGGGCTCTCTCGGGCACGGGAGAGCTGTCATCGGCGCTAATGGCCCCGTCAATAAGGCTTGGTCACCTGCGTAAATGCGTGCAGACAGGCATCATCTTTTGTCCCACTGTAATCGCCTCACCTGGCTATTTAGGTGCTACTGTGATAAGTGAGAGTGAAATAGACATTCAAGGCTTGTGTGTGTGGGGGGGGGGGTGGACCCTCACATCGTGTACTGTTGGCGTGATTGCCTGTAATAGCCCCCTTCCAGCGACGTTTCCGCTCTGTCTTCAGGGAAGATGATTGCTTTGAAGTGGCTCCCTTAAGTTCATTAGTGACTTAGACCCCTTCTAGGCCGGCTGATGGGACTTTTTAAAGAGCCACCCCCCCTGAGAAGACAGGCCGGCCGAGAGAGTGGCAGCTTGTGTGGCACCCAGGGCAGCATCAAGCAGGGCCCCTTTCCAGAAAGAGAAGTCAGCGGGTGCTGGGATCCCAGCTCTCAGGCCAGGAGCTCCTGCTCCTCCCCGGTCCGCTCCTCAGTTCGGTCCCACTTCCCCCAGCTCCTCAGCTCGGGTGTATTTTGATGGTGCTTGTTGCCGGGTTTAGATCTGCCTCTGCATCTCATGCTTCTAAACCAGGGGTAGGGGACCTTGTTTCTGCCACGTGTACAGCATCCTTCGAGGGCCGCACCAGTCAAACGAGCCCTGGTGGCACTCTGGGTTGCACAAGGTCAGCTGTTTGAAACCAGCCAGTGCTCCGAGGGGGCCAGATGAGGTTGTCTGCTCCTGTCAAGAGTGACAGTCTCGGAAACGAGGGGAGGCGGGGGTGCAGTCTGACCCTGTCCTGTCGGTATTGATGGCAGTGAGCTTGGGTCCCTTCTGCGAGGGCAGGAATGGCTGAGATGTCAGCCATCACCCGTGGCCTCCTGGACCGTACACGGCCCACCCTCTGGACACTCCCCACCCAGATTCGATCGTCCTGAGGTTTGGTTTTGTCTTTTGAAAAAAACTCATCCGGATACCCATCCTGCCCAACATTTTTTTTAAACATCTACTGTTTTTACAGGCTCTAGTAGGCCAAGTAGTATACTACATACTAGACAAGGATGGACACCCCTTCACCCCGTCCCCTAACAGAGAAGGACAATGCACGGCTGTTGTCCAGCCAGACTCCAGCCTGTGGCGACGCTGTGTGTGTGGAGCGGACGAGCCCAGGGCAGCGAGGCAGACAGGGAGTCCTCTCAGGGCAGTGACTGGTGGGTTCTCGTGGGCTGCCCAGGGGTGGGGCCTCAGTGAGGGCAGCCATCCTAGGTCTGCCCTATGGGTACCCTGAGGTCATAAGGGGCTCCCAGAGAAGCCCTTCACGGCAAGGGGGGTGCATGGGATTACAGCACAGTGGCCTCAGTGAGGCCCCTCCATCTGGACAGGGTCGGCAAGTGGCCCCCGGCTCCCTGAGTCTGTGTGTTAGCGGGTGGCAGGAGGCAATTCCAGGGGACACACTGGGGCAGTGTCAGTGTGCCGAATAGTACGTTGGGCATGCAGGAGAGAGGATTGGGGGGGGCGCAGGCAGGACTGGCTAGTGGAGGGGACGCTGAGGGGATAGCAGAGAGGCTGGACTGGGCTCCACAGAGCGTGGGCAGAGCTAGGTGGTGAGGCTGTTGGAGGGTGGGTCTTCTGCGTCTGGGTTGAAAGCAGAGGCCCAGGTCAGACCCGAGGGAACTTTGCAGGGGAGGCAAAAACCATGGCCTGTCAGGGCACTGAGGCCCAAAAAGCCGAGCTTGGAGATGCAGGGACATGCCAGAAGAGCCATGCCACAGCCCCCCAAAAGCACCAAGCACCTCCAGAAGGACAGGCAGCAGGAGGGACACAGCCTGAGAGCGTCCAGCTTGGTGTGGCTTTAGGCATAAGGTGACCAGATGTCCCACTTTGGGCGGGACAGTCTGCTTTTTGGCGTTTTAAAAAAGTCCCGATTTGGGGGAAGAATGCACGACAAGCTAGGGAACGATCTATTTGGTCCATAGAGACCAAGTTTTTCA